GTTCATGGGTGGCTACAAGTATATCTGCAAGTAACTGGCCTGTCCGTCCAGGGGCTTCTTCGCCCTCTCCGGGTCTGCCAACCACGGCCGGACATCGGTTGCAATGGGCAGACCGAAGGCCTCAGGTCGCAGATCGCCGGGGTTAATTTGGGCTTATAATAGTAATAGTAGCAAAAAAAATAATACTAATAATAATAGTAATAATAATAGTAATAATAATAATAATAGTAATAATAATAATAATAATACTAATAATAATAATAATGATGATAATGATAATGATTTTTTGTCACCCACCTAGCACGGCAATGCCAGCTCCGCGGGGCTCTTAGGAGCAACGACGACTGGATATGCATTCAATGAATTATAACAACCCCGGAAAGGAGTGCCAACCCAAGTGGGGCAAACAGCGAAAACAACAAGGTAAGGCCACGCAGTACAACGGTTGGCACTCCGCCGGAAACTTACGCCCTCAGCCAGCTTACACCAACTTTCGGGAAAACACACCTTATCATTGATAATGATAATAATAATGATAATAATAATAAGAAGAAGAAGAAGAATAATGATGATAATGATAATGGTAATGATAATAATAATGATAATAATAATAAGAAGAATAATAATAATAATAATAATAATAATAATAATAATAATAATAATAAAAATAATAGCAATAATAATAATAATAACAATAATAATAATAATAATGTAAAAGCTCTGGGTCGAGCAAGGCGAGGGGTTTACGCTTTCGCAGTTCGCGGTTCACGTTGGACTACACTGCCGGTTCACCCGAGTCGGGTTCAAAGCAGTTTAGGATTTGGTTTTTGTGGCTCCCGCATGGCAAGCCACAGCAAGCGGCTTTCAGGGTAAAGGGTTTTCGGACAGGCAATCTGCTGTCGAACCTCGCAGGGTGCTGTCCAATCCTGAAATCCCAAGGAAACCCCTCGGCATCCTTGGCACAGCTTCGGTGCTCGCTCTCGGAAGGAATTGGAAGGCAAGCTCAGAAAATGCCCTCTCGCAGGCTGGAAAGCCTGGCTTTGCTCATGACCCCAGTGTTTATTTTGCTTCACGAGTATATTGCTCACAGAAAGGATGGGGCTCTGGGATACAATTGGGCAGTTAAGCTGGCCAGGCGTCGAAACCTTTTTCATGGACCGAAGCACACAAACACACACACACACACACACACACACACACACACACACACACGCACACTCTGCAAGCGAGCTGCCAGGCAATGGTAGACGTGCTCCGCCACGTGATCCCTGAGTATCGCTAGGGCTAGGCTGTAGACTTGCCACCCTTTCCGTGGATTGTCGCAGAAACCCAGTTCCGAGTAAGACTTTTCTCAATAGAAAACAGCAAGAGGCTAGCGCCTTCAGGGTGGGAAATGCCAGGGCAGAGCTACTCCAAAGAATCACTAGACTCCGCAGGTCCGGGAGCAAAGCCATACTCCCTGTCTTCATCTTATGTACACCTGTTTCCTGCAAAATAGTTCTGCACCAAGCCAGGGTAACTTGTGGATGAAGATCTGCAGCATCTGGCCCCCCAAGCGCTTGATGCTGCTGTCGCCTTTATGCCCATAGCCCTGCACTTGCAAACCGAAGCTCGCGCCAACCTCGGCCAACTTGGCACAGAGCTCTGCAGCCGTGCGATTTGTCACCGCGAGGGCGTCCTGTCACTGGCGATGACAGCATGAGGCCCCGACAACTGCACCCAACCAGCATCCCAATCCGCTTCCACAGCAGCGACGTTGCAGCTCAGGGACCACACGACACCTTATACACCTAGGCCCTTGGCCACGCAGAATCAACAGAAACAGAAAGGCCCCTCCTCCAGCATTTTCGTCAGCAAGCCCTGAAAGGAAAGGTCGGTGCAGCCGTAGCCTTTTCGGAAGCAGGTCAAGGGCGGCGCCTGCGGCGACGGAAGCCACATTGCCGAAGGCACCACTACCGTCGCTACTACAACGACTGCGACAGCCGAACGATAAAAGCGGAAGCGAAAAGCGAAACCAAGAACCCACTGCGGAAGGGTCATCACCCTGAGCCCTCCCCCCGCCTCAGAGCCAAAGGCAAAGAGAGTGGGAGATGCCGAAATGGCCAGGGAGCGAAACCAGGGGTCGTGATCCTGCGCACACACCCCCCGTGCCCCAACGCCCATTTAAGGGTTTAGGTGGGGACTCTCGCAACTCGGACCCTACAGGCGAGGTTGTCTGGGGTTTCGACTCTCACGACTCGCACAAGGCAGGCAGGATCCGAACGTCAGCTTCGGAGGTTTAGGCTTTCAGGATCTTTCAGGTTTAGGGATGCAGTAGCTCCGGCTAAAGTGAAGGCTTCTCGCTCTGTGTTTCCTGGGGTTGTTCAAGCCCGCGGTCCTGGCCATCCAGAGTGTTTTCTGTCTCGAAAGCCGCCTTTAGCTTGCCGATGGTCACTCCCTTGAAGTGTCCCGAGAAGATGCGGGGGAGAGGGGCGAAGGTGTCTGGCAGCTGGAAGGCATGCCTTGCGATCTCTGCCTTAGAGTCTTAGAGTGCCCATGAGTTTCGACGAAGCGTAAAATATTCTCATAATTCTGCTCCTCACGAAACGAGAGTCGAAAGGACGGATTCCGAAGCCTACTGCCGAAGGCCAGCCTGGACTTCGTAGAGAAGGGAAGCGCTGTTGTAGTGATGGTAGAAGACGCAGAAATCATCATCCATCTCCTGTTCTCGCTGCATCATCCGCTCGAAGCACACGGCAGCAAAGGCGGCGGTGTTGTCGGTGCCCACATTGCGCAAGATGGTCTCGGCGGCAGTGCTCCGCTTCTCTGTCCTCATGCAATTATGCTGCTTCTTGAAGCGGCTTTCAGGACGGAACCCCGGAACAACAAGACACAAGACTGTCAGTGCCCGAGGTTCGGATACTCCAATGTCCGGAGGGATTGGCAGGTCTTGTGGAGATTGACATCGCATTTTATTTCCCAGCCATCAGCAGTCAGTGACCCGTTCGCCGGCCTAGCTGGATCGTAGCCAGACCGGGCAGCTTTGGGTTTTACAACCTCGCGGGTTGCTGCCTCGATGGCCTCGTCGGGGAAATCGCTGACAGGTGGTGGCTCCGCCAGGGGGAGAGAAGCCAGCTCCGCCTTTTCCTTCGCATCCCCGATCGTGCTTTTTCCAGGCACCTCGACGGGCAGAGGGTCCGAAGGCGCGTCGCTAACCGCCGCGGCCGCAGCTGTGGCAGTGGAACACTCGGAGAGGGCATTTCTGATGAAGTCACTAGCCACGTCTAAGTCGCCGCAGCGCGCTGCCTCGCTCACCAACTTCAAATCTGCAGAGGGGAAAAGGGCGAGCAGCGCAAACCGGAGCTCTTTGTTCGCCAAGTTCGCAAGGCTAGGCATGGCTCCTAGAACGCATCTGCTCGACCTCAAGGGATCCTCGTCATGTTTCTGAAGGTTTTGCTCTGGGGAAAGCCAACCTGAAAGTGTCTGCCAAGGCTGGTTCGGGCACAGCTGCTGAGGCATAGCAATGTGCATAAAGACATGACCACTTCCCCTTCGCAGAATCAAGGCAGTCGGGATGAAGCCGTTTCCCTATGCCCCACCAGAGTTAAGTAGACCCCGCGTAATGCAGGCGAGCTGCTCCGACCATAACATCCTGTGGCAGCTGGTGGCATGTGCAAATGACGAGGCGAGCTGTAGGACTGTAACTTAACAAAAGACAGATCTGTAACAAACGAGCGGTTGTAGAGCCAGGTGCGGTGTGTTGACTCGTGATGGTGTAGCAGGGCAAAATCTAAGCACATATCGTTAGTTTCCACCCTCAGCGAAATGGCCTTCCGGGGGCCGGGGGCCCCACTCACAACAGAGACTCTCAACCCGCTCCAGAACCTCCAGAGGTGCCAGCAGCACAGCGCCATCCGCAAGACTCTCGGATGGGCCTGGGCCTGCGGATGAAAAGAAGCACAGCGTCTAGTAGACCGGTGACCTTCGCACATCTTTGGTGTGCATGTACCACTCCATTTACACATGACTATGCATACACACTTGTGCCGGTGTGCGCAACTGAACCTGTACCATCAGTCTTTTTATCTACATACATTCATACATACATACGTACATACATACATACCTACACATACATGTGCGCATGTGCGTTTGTGGGTATACATCTAGGATCTAGGTACATCTGCACATCCACAACATTTGCCTGCCTACTTGTATGCAAAAACATGTATCTATTCCAGGTATCTACAAACAGCAAACACACAAAAGCTACCTGCCCCATCTCTACAGGTCGCATTCCATGAGAAGGAGATACTCCGACGATCCCAGCGCGAAGTCCTTGCCTCGCAGCCTCTCTGCCGTGGCCCGGGTAAACTCGGAGACCTCGGCTCGAAAAGAACGGCCTTTAGGGCCAGGGCTTGCGGAATGGGGCCAAGCTTTGATGTTTCCGGGCTTAGGGCCTTCAGGGTCTAGAGCCTACCTCAGAGCTTATGTTTTGGGTTCTGGTTATTTGGGTCAAGGGTTCAGTGTTTATGGGTCTAGGACTCAAGACTAAGATCCAGTTTGGCCCAACAGAGTGCAACAAGAGAGCAAGAACACACCGGTCATGCCGGCAAAGCCCTCGCTGAGGTGCATGAAAGCACCCAGAGACCTGAAGTTGACATCATAACACGTACTGTACGACGCCGTGCGAGTATCTGCTCGTGTTGACATCCAGCCACTTGCGTAGCCCTGCCTTTAAACTGACAATGACGAACGATGACAAACCTTTGTACCAACAAGGACCTGGGCATCGGCGAGAGGCCGAATTGTATTGGGGGTTGGCGCGAGCTCACACATGGTTCGTGGCTATGGCGCCAGTTGATCAAGAAACTAGCTCAGAGCTCGAAGCCCCCTGAACAAATAAGCAAATCAAAGATGCGCGGCACTTTTGGGCACCTGCGCGAGCAGATGTTGTGGTGAAACGGTTTTAGAAACTGGCGACAGCTAGGAGCTCGCCGCTGACTTCTGTCGTCAAGAACTCATGCCGACTTCTGCAAGATGAAGACCTCTGAGGGATACCTGAGAGCGCGAAGAATGATAGAGTTCCGGGTCTCAAGACAACGTTATACAAAACGAAAGGGAGATCGAAATACACCCAACCGACAAAAAAAGCGCTTCGTGACAGCATTGCCTCTCCTTTCCAAGCAAAAACGGCTCGACAAGCATTTGCGAGTTCAAGAAAGATAGCTTCTGTCTGCGCAGTGTCGCTGCGAGTTTCCAGCAGCAGGGAACTCATGCGTTGATCCCTTTTTGTTGGAGACTTAGAGGGTCCTGCTCGTTGTGGCGTCCTCCACTTGTGGGCAGCCAGAAAGATGACGACTTGTTGGTCTTGTGTCACACTGAGCTGAAAGGGTGGCTATGTTACGTTTCTACAAGGTGCCAGAGGTATTGAAGCCAGGGCTGCTGCAAAATTCGGGCTTCCTGAGGGACCTTGTCCAGTAACAGTTTACTACAACGAGGTGCTTACAGCGACGAAAATTTGCGAGACCCTTATAATGACTGCACGTGCGTGTTCATATGCACAAGTTTAAGAAAGCAGATTTAGGCACAGAAAAACAAACACACACACACACACACAAGCACCGAGAGAGAGGGAGGGAGAGAGAGAGAGAGAGAGAGGGTTTGAGAAAGAGAAGAGAGAGAGAGAGAGAGAGAGAGAGAGGGTTTGAGGAAGAGAAGAGCAAAGAGAGAGAGAGAGAGGGTTTGAGGAAGAGAAGAGCAAAGAGAGAGAGAGAGAGAGAGGGTTTGAGGAAGAGAAGAGCAAAGAGAGAGAGGGAGAGAGAGACAGAGAGAGAGAGAGAGGAAGACAGTGAGACGGGGACATGCTTTGCCTACTTTAACCTGTGGCCGCCGACACAAGCTGCCAGACAGCTGTCAGACATGGAGGCTACGTCCTCAGAAACAAGGTGCTCCTCGTACTGATGCTTGACAACGAACTTGTCCACGACCTCGCTCGGTTGATTTCAACAGCGAACGGTTAACAACACAGCCGATCTGAAGCCTTTCTGCAGGTGTTGTCAGAGCTTAGAAGCAAAACCACAAGCCACGAAACTGGCACCGACAAACAGTGGTAGGATCGGCGGTAAGGGGAGGAGGAAGGAGTAGGGATACTACTGAAGACTCTTTGTTGCTTTGCACTAGCCGCAGCTTTTGCCTGAGACGCTGCCAATATCCGCAGAAAGCCTCAAAACAAGACCGTTCTTTTACCCACCTCGCCTGCAGCCCATCGGCCAGCGGGAGCGATGCTGAGGCCAAGAGAGCACCGGGTGCCATCTCGAGGGAAAGCCTGCGTACGACACTCGCATTGGGCCAGGTAAGGGCGGCGATGACAGTCTGACATGAAGAAAGACAAAGTACACAGACATAAATCTCTATCAAAACGAAAAGAACAGATCACGGCCCAACAAACCTTTGCAGAACACATCACGGAGTACCACCTAATTCCCTCGTCAGTTGGTGTGCACCTCTTGCATTAGCACCGAGCATGCTAGAATCAGTTTCGGATATTGGGTTTCGGCTTTCACCTCTTTCCAACAGGTGGTTGGCGCGACAGGTCCGCAGCCAATCATTCTGGGTCGTTAACGTTAACAGTTATGACCTCCAGTCACCCCAATGTTCCACGCGCAGCTGTGAGATCTCGTGCTCCTCGCAAAGACGGCCCCGCATATGACGTCAACTTCCCATTGGTGCGTCCCTTGTGCGACCCAGGTTTGAGCCTCACCGCTGCATCCAAATGCCCCCACACCGCACGGATGTGATCCCACTGGCCGCACCATACCCTGACATTGAGGCCCAAAGCCGCGAGACTCCAACACGCAAAAACTACAAATGCAAACTGGTTAGTCTGTGTGGAGGTACCGCACTGCTGGCTGTGCAGAAGGAAATGCGTTTGGCGAGACCACACAAATGTAATACTGTATGGCCAGCCACCAAGTGCACATTGGGCCCGCAGTACAGTCTGGCATACCTGTCGTACTCGGAATGTTCATTTGTACGCCAGACACGCAAGGTGTGCCAACTAGGACTTGGGTTTTGCGATTGTGTGTCGAAGAGATCCTTGCATGTATCGCGCCCGGATCGTCTGCACGGGCTGCTTGCATTAAGCCCCGAAATTTCTTAAAAACCTGGACTTCAGAACTTGAAGTCGGCACCTGCCAGCACTCGCAGATCCCCAAAGCCCTGCCTCCGGTGCAAGGAGCGGCGGCAATCCAGATCACAGGCCGGCCCCTGAGAAATATGCGTAATGGTAGCTAGTCTGTGTCTATGGACCTACTCATCTTTCTATCCGTTCTTACGTCTGTATCTCTCTCTCACCTGCGTCTACCAGCTTGTATAGCCAATATGCGTTGCATCTCCTTTCTGATGTGTGCGTAGTGTAGCTGGATGGATGGATGGATGCATGGATGGATGGGTGGATGGATGGATGCTCACGCTAGCTTCGATTCAGAGAACCTTAAATCTTACGGTCATGAGAATCCTCAGACAGCAAGCCTGTCATCCACATTCAGCCACAAAACCTCGACATGTCACTGGAGATGCATCCACCAAAACACGGCAGTAAAAGCGGCCTGTGGTATTCGAACAAGAGATGCTTCGCCAAAGCTGTCAAGACGCCTCACTCATGTCCAAAGCTGCGGACTTTGGGAGTTTTGGTTTAAGCCGTTCGGGGGACTATTCAAAGCATGACGCCCTGTGCAACAGCTTACATCAACACGCGGTTGTGGAGGCATGGCATTTTAGAAGAGGACCTGTAAGCTTCCAGCTCGTGACCTTAACACCCATGCATCTTTCGAAACCCCCAAACCGACAAAAGGGCCGAAAAGCAATCGGACCCTTCTGACATCCGGGCCCAACTCCCGAACCCATGTAGCCTGCTAATGGCTTCCTCTTGGCCATCTCTAAAATCCAAAGCAGCTTCTCCAAATCCGTCCGCTTATTACACCCGAAGGAACACGTGTTTAAAACCCATACAAAGCCACGAGACCCTCCCTCTGAGTAGCTGAGTGCAGAGCTTGACATCCGCACATCGGTACTCCATGCGCTCAGCGTAGCCGTGGCGCTCCTGAGAAGCCGGGCTTTGATGACAACCCAGAGACTCCAATATTCCTTAACTAAGGAATATACCTTAAATTATAGTAGGATCTCTAATATGATTTAGGAAATATTTAAATATTCCTTCATTAAGGGATATTGGAGTTTCTGGCTAAGCTGCCTGTGACATCCGAAAATGGGGCCCTAGCGCCTGCTGAGTGCGTTTACGATGCTAGACGTGATCGCTCTCCAGTGACGCATTCAAGTTTATTTGGCTTGCGACATGTCACGAACAGGCATCCTGGAAATTGAGGACATGACAGCTTCAGAGATGCAGAACTAAAAGTCCGAGGCACTGCGATGTCTTTGGCGGATGCCTTTGGGATTCGAGGCTCTGGAACAATCAAGTTTTGGAGAATGTGGTAAGATTTCGGCCAGGTTACGAGTCAAGTGTGGGGTTCATGTCCTGGCATCTCCCATTTGAAGCCCTCCCTCGAAAACTTCGTCGAGCATCGACCCTCTTGCAAGCCTGAACAAACCCGTCGCCATCGTGCCCCAACTTACCCAGTAAATTCTGCGTGCGCTTGACCTTAAAAGCCCAAGCAGTTGGAATCCCAAACCCGCAAGTCCTGAACCCGAAGCCCGTACTGTTCAACATGCCACCACCATGGACTCGCACAGGATGTCGAAGAGCAGGCAGCGGGAAAATCCGAAAGCCAGTGCGAAAATGCAGTCCTTCACAGGGTTACGAAGTCAAGCTTGGGACTTAGGGTCTGTAAGAGCACCTCACATGTCGGACACCCGCTGAGTTCAATGGTCTAAGCGTAAACCCCGCGACATCCTCGCTGTTTTGAACCTCGCAGTCTAAATCACCGTAAGCCCTACTCACCCCAACACTGAAACCCCAAAGTCAGTCTGAACCCGAGACCTTGAGTCCAGAAGCCCCAATCCTGCCTCACCCAGACCCGAGCCCAGCGTCAGCAGCACGCCGCCGCGCGCGGCGCGGAGGGCCGGGCGCTGGGCCATGGCCTCAGCGAAACGAGGCCGGACACCCCTTTTTTGTTTAATCTTCGGCCTTTGAGAGCTTGGGCATTTACGCTCTCACAACTCGGACACAGCCAGGCGCTTGGGCATTTAGGGCCTCGGCGTTGCCGGGATGAGATGCAGGTTAGGTGCAAAGCATGTGGAGCAGTTCCTCCGGACGTTTATGGTTTCTGATTCCGGTGACCTTAGACCCTCTGTCGGCACTTGCATTGTTACTTTGCAGTCGCCTTCGCAGTAGTAGTCGTCGGCGTCGTAGTCGTCGCCGTCGTGTGCTAGTCTGCTAGTCTGCTAGTCGTTGCCGTCAGCAGCTGGTGTCGTCGTAGGTGCAGCAAGTGTTGTGCGCAAAGAAATCGTGCGAACTCTTCGGGTACGGCCCAAGCCCTTTCAAACTCGAAGGCCCTGACATCCAGGCAAGGCACTTGCCATTCATCGAAAGTCAACCGCGTGTAGGGACAGGACCTCAGGAGCAACCAGCTGGTCTGGCATCGACAACATGGCACCCAACCGGGAAGGGGGGACGGAGGGCGATCTGCGAATAAAGGCGGAAGGAAGATTGGCCTTACCCTTCCCACGGTCTCCCCACCGCTACACCTACGTAATTGCATTAAATATATCATTTTCGAATCACGCTTCCACACACCACTGTCAGCCAAGACGACAACCAAAGCCTCCCACCTTCAAGCCACAGCAAGCAGACAAGCAGCCTTGAGCCTCTGGCAAGTGAGACAAAAACCAAGAGCAACCGGACAGACAGAGAAGACGACCACCAAAGGCCCCTACCTTGTGGAACACCGACATCCTGAGACCTCATGACCAGAAACCCCACCGTAAGCCGAGGAAGCTGCCCGGCACAGACGTCCGTGCGCTCGGAAGCCCAGCGAACAAGCCACGCCTCGAGGTACAGAGTCTCTCATGGCACTTACGCGCATTCTGTCTGTCTGCCTGTCTGCCTGGAACTGCGACCAGCACTGCCAGGCTTCTAGGCACTGCGGCAGATTTTGCTGTTCTACTTTACATGCAGGTGTCGTTCATCCAATAGGAGTTCCTTGGCCCAGGCACCGGGTCGTTCTCCAGCCGCCGAAGGTCCGCCAGCGCAGCAGACAGAGAAGCGGCGAAGGTCGGGGCCTCTGGCTAATTGTATCTCGGAGAGGAATCTTTGAAGCACTGCCACCATACGCTGATCCGACTTCTTCAGGCCGACAAGAATGCAGTAGAATATCATAGTAGGATACACGCGCGACTTCCGTCATCAGGTTTTTGCGGCTCCCATGATTCTATGCTTCTTGGGTTTGCCGTGTTCATACTGCTAGTCTTAGAATTCTCATTCAACGACTAGACCATGATCCTCGATGATGTTGTTACTTCTGCATCGAACAGTATGCTTGGCAAAGCTGTCTGTCGAGATTGTTGCTATTCCCTCAACTTGAATCATACCCTAACCTTCCAGCCCTCAAGCCCCGACTCCCAAATGCTAAACTTCATATCCAAAACCCTCAACACCACCCCAAACTCCGAACCCTGCAAAAGATTTTGGAAAGTTCATTATGGAAAGTGTACCAGCATCCTATTTCGATAAGTCAGGCCCGACCATGAAACCATACCAAACGCTGTAGAAGCCCAATCAAGGCTTTCCACAAAGCCTGATTGTTAAGGATTTCAGTGCCAATAACGTTATGACCGACAATTTTGAGCGCAAGTTTCGGCCCAAACGCTTCGTTTTGCAAACTTGGCTCTGGGAATTTATATAAGCACCTCTACAAAAACCAAAACCCATTTTTGATAAACCCTAAAACGCCAAAACCCCAAAACCCGAAACCGTGAACATTGCAAACCCTAAACCCTAAACCCTAAATTCTAAACCCTAAACCCTAACCCCGGTGCCTCGGCAGCCAGCGCTGCTCCGAAAGCTGCGGCCTCCTGGGCTCGAAAGCGGCGATACGCCTCCTGCAAGGCGTACGGCTTCTCTAGGGTCTTCCACAAGTTTGGCGGTTACAGGATTACTATAAGGGTTATACTACAGGGGTTCTTAGTAGGCTGCACTGAGGGGACTTAGAGTTGTCTATTTCTTTCTCTCTGTCTCACTCTCGCCCGGGCATGAGGGACCGTCAATCAAAGTCAAAATCTCACGGGCTTTAAGCTGTCTCTCTCTCTCTCTCTCCTTCTCTCTGTCTCTCCGCAGGTTTTGCGTTATCGAGTTTAGGGCTACTCGACGGTTTATGGTCCGACGGATTGCGCGCAGCGCTGAAGATGTAAACTTCCAAATCCTTCGACTCTGCTGCCTCGTTGCCTAAGGACTCGAATCTAATACAACCGCTTGAAAGGCTCGCTCTGCCGGCAATGGCCCATGACATCTGAGCCGGTGTGAACTGACGAACGTCTTCATGACTTCCGTTCTCGCTACTACAATCAAAATAACTAACCAGTGGTTTTGGGGCTCCCTGGGCTCTTTAGCTCCTTTTTCAATAGGGATTATCATCATCCCTGGCTCCTTAGCTCCTCCAATATCAAAGGTTAGATAATGTATCAACTCCATGTCCATAGGTATCATGGAAAGGAAAAGAGCAGAACTCAGGAAAGCCAAAACCCCTGAACCGTCATTGCGGCAGGCTCCGGGCTTTTTTTGCCCTAAACCCCAGCATACCCGAAGATGTTTCCGCCTCGCCCTCCACCACCGGCACCAGAAAGCTCGAAGGCGACAAACCCTGCCTTCGGTGTAGGGTTTGGGGTTTGGCACCGTTTCAGCATACGTTTGCCTCAGGCATAGGGCTTGAGTGCTTGCACGAGCAGGCCGAAAGGATGGGAGCCTTGTAACGGACATGCCCCAAGCCCATTGAGGGAAAGCCATGCTGCTGCTACCGCAAAAACCCAGCTTCTGCATCTTAGAGGCTCCGAGTGCAGTTCTAGGGCTCTGCCCCAGCTTGCACGTGCTTCGGCCTGTTCATGTGCGATGCTTGACGCAGAGAGAGAGAGAGAGAAAGAGAGAGAGAGAGCAAGCAAATAAGAAGAGAGAGAGAGCAACGAAGACAAGAGCCAGCAAGCGAGGGAGTGAGGGATAGAGGTTTCCTGCCTTCGCTATGCTCATCGTGATGTGCCAAAAGAGTTTGGGCGGTGTCTGCTACATTGTTCGGTCGCGAAGAAAACACTGAAAATTGTGGATTTTTGGTGCTCTAAGAATTTAGGGATTTCTCGAAGGCTTCAGATGTTTGGCAGCTTCGCGGGTCTGGGGCCACAGCTTCTGAGCTCAGGTTGTGCATCATTCATCGAATGCTCGCTTTGAGCAGCTCACTTCGTCGAAGACGCTCTCACCTCTCATCTCTGCCATGACCAGCATCTCCATCAGGATTATCATTGACACACTCTTTCGCTTGAAGCTGTGGTGGTGGCGATGGCGGCCTGTCGCCCGAGCATCCAGAGAGTGGTGCCAAGGTCCTGAAGCCAAACGGGCGGGTTCACTTTCAAATCTGCCGTCTACTACCGACTGTGGAAGAAACTCACAAAGTAGAACAGCCTTGTGCACTGCACTGTAGTCCGAACTGCTGCACGAAGTGAGGGCCAGTTCTCGACTTGTGTTTGGGGTTGAGGCACAACGGCGTGGTGCCTAAAGGTTGGAGAACACTAGAAGAGCAATTTTTTGAATTTAGGCGCCGGGGAAAGGTCGTTTGATCAATCCCTGATCAGCTCTGCTCTTGGGTGCGAAGTAGAGATTTCAACAAAAGAGGCTCTGAACCTGTGTAGCCACACGACGTGTCTCGTCAGGGAACTGCAGAAATGCCGAGAATTGAGTGGCGGACCCGACCTGCCAATCTCGTACCAAACTCCTAGAGTCCAAGATCTCACTCTCCCGATCATACCCTGCCAGGTAACCCAAAACAGCAACCCTACGAGTACTCTACTACTAGTAATCACAGACAGCCCGCAGAACCGAGGAGCCGCCGCCGCGCCGCGGCGCCCCGTCGCTGCCCTCAGACTGGTCTCGGCTTCGCGAAGACCTCAGCGGCTTAGGGTTTAGGGTTTAGGGTTTAGGGTTTAGGGTCAGAGATCGGGCGCTCTCAGGCGAAGGGCGAGGGGTTTAGTTTTGGGGGCTTGGGTGGAGGTGGGGTTCCTATGTTTGAGTTGGATCCGCTCTTTGCTTCTAAGAAAGGAGCCGAGGTTCTTACTTGGGCCGTCGGGCACATATACTGCAGCAGTAACAGGATGGATTACCAAGCGGGATGTTCAGGTACCTGCAGGCAGGGCTCAGAGCTTCCGTCACATACCATGTAAGTAGGCAAAACGGCTCAGAACCCTCCTCCACTCCTTCTAATGGCAGTAAGGGTTTTGGGATCCGCCTTTGCGGAAACATGTGTCTTTCTGCGGCTCGCCAGCTAGGACATGCCGGATTTCAAGGCCAGAAGACAGACACAGCGATAGAAACTCGACAGCCTGCCGATGTCAAAAACTGGAATAGCAAAAACCACTCATACTCACTTAGCAGTGCACACCCTGGAGCATCTGTGCATAAAAGCTGTCAAGCAGCCAAATGGACTGCTAGAAGCTCCACCACATGCATGTCTTGAGATTCAGGGTTTGGGATTCCTAGTTTGTGGAGGCCTTCTGGAGAGTCGATCTTTGTTTTTTTGGTGAGGTTCAAGCGCATTCTTGGATTACTGTCAGCACGCTCACGGAGGGGTGGCACGTGCAACTCCGGTGCGTACCCAGGAAACCTGACCCTGTGCCGTGTAGCCGGGCGGCGCTGTCTTCGGAGAAGAAAATCTGGGAGCACCATGCTCGTCGCATTCTAGCTAGCCCGCTAACAGCAGATTCACACAGCATCCTCGACTGCTGAGTCACAACAAGCTGGCTTGCAAGACTGCTTACGACGCGTCACGACCCAAAGCTGCAGCCCCTGCAGCGCTGCCGTCACGGCGCAGCTGCACTTCGGCCTAGCACGGAGTGCAATGTGGGGAGCACGATGGAACCTGGTTCTTCAACCCAGAGCGTGGTCATGCAGCAGCACATGCGACAGTTTTAAGGCTATTGTTAGGCCACTGGTCTCTGAGGTTCCGTTAGAACGGCATGGCAAGGACCGAAGGTCGTGTGAACCTCAAGCCCGGGCCTCGCTCCAGCGGCCGGTCTTGTCCAGAAGCTCGCGGTACCTTTGGACGTTTCAGAGCTCGATTCCTTCAGACCGATTCTGTTCCGCGCAGCTGCCCGGAAGTACGTATCGAAATGCTTTCTCCAGCTGTTCCGGCCGCACGTTCTGCACTGCCGTTGCTGAGTTGCTGATGCTAGCTGTCTATCTCGCTCAGACCGCCGAACACCAGTCTTGAATCCGACACAAAAACCGCAGCGAAGCCGCACATTTGTTTAAGCCGCACAAACCCCACAAAAACCTTGCTTCGTACGAGAAATGCATGGCAACATGCAGATTCTAGAATTCCGCAAGCACATCCTTGAGGAAGCCTAATTGAATAGAGGCGCAGCTCACCGCTGGCATCTGCTGGATCCCGTTCTTCGGAGCCTCTCGTTTCGGTTTCTTGATGCAGGGACGCAGGTGTGCGGCACTTACACGAGCACTAGCCCAGGAGTAAAGGGCCCAGAGCTTCGGGTCAAGGAACTGGACTCTCGTGACCTTTTAGGACATGAGGCTTGGTTTTGTGTGTTTGCGCTTCCTGGGTCGCGGGATGTGCATCTCTCTCTCTCTCTCTCTCGCTCTCTCTGTCTCTCTCTCGCTGCTGTGCCATGGTTCAAGGCTTCCTTCGGTGTCGTTGGGGTATCACGCCCTGAAGCTGCAGAGCCCACCTGCAGGAGGGCATGAGCAAAATATGACTGGTGGAGAGTTTGCAGAAAGCGTCTTCACAGCCTACTGTGAGCTCAGTCCTGCGCTCAGGAAACACATCTTTTGGGGGCCACGGGTTCTGTCATTCACTCTGCTTTGAGTTTTGCAGCCACGCAACCTCGTGCAGGACTACGGAACTGATCTTTCGAGGCGTGTTTTCTTGTACCGGGTCGAAGGTCCAGTTCTTGGCTTCATGTGTTTGATTTCTGGATTGTTCAGCTTAGGTCTTGATGTATAACAACCACGACGAGTAATCCTGGCAACTTAAACTCAAACACTTTCAGGCCTGCAATCAGCGGCTCCAACACCTTCCCACGGCTTTCGGTTCGGGGTGGCACAAGAGCCTGGTAGTGAGCTCATGGCACCCCCATGGTTTGGAAAGCCAGCCGCCGCCGGATGTGGAGGCCTACGACCCTCATGGACTGGTCGGGAGGTGTGGTCTCACTGGTCATCTGGTTACCAGGCCAGAGCTTCTCCCTCAACTCCAAGCTCTCAGACTTCTGCGATGAGCCCGGCGCAACATGGAATCGAGTCTCACCTCCATAGCTTCGTGGTATCGAAGCCTCCGCTGCAGTAGGACCTAAGATCTCCCACGAGGAGCCCGAACGAAGAGCCCCGTCCCCACCGCTTGAATCTACAATGCAGGATCTCTTCTCCGGCCAAGACGCCGTCCAACCCGGATGGATCCATATCATCAAACCCTAAACCCGACAAGCTTATGTGCTGTTAATGTCTCTTATCCTCAGGCGAAAGCCAGAACGATCGAAACATTGCAGACTTCAACATGTCGAAGCCCTACTCCAATCTCCCAAGTCGCCGCGAGATTGTGCCTCGCCTCTTCCAACATTGGAAGTGCCTGGCTCGGCAAAGTCCCTGTAGGATTCTAACACAAAGGACCCAAGCGTTTCTAACCTGTCGGGTTTTGCTTGAAGTTTTCAACCGTCATGCTTACGCTGAGAACAATTCAAGGGGCAGGGATTCTCTCTTTCTCCCTTTTTCGCTCCTTCCTCGGGGTACGGGTGGGTTGGAAAGGGAAACTCTTTTAATCATGATAAAAACTAGAAGACACTTGGCCCGAAAGCATCATTAGCGAAGAGTTTAGCGCTACGTTATAGAATCCAGCGCATAGAATTATAGAGTCATAGCGCGAAGTGCATCTAATTATGAAGTATATGGCAATGCCGAGATCGATATTCTTGAAACTATGAACTTGACTCTACATGTTTTACTCTGCGTTCCTCAGTCGATGTTGTCAAAGCTGTCGAAGCAGTGTATAAACTTAAGTTAAGTATATGAAGTCAACTGCATACGGCGAAGTGCATAGAGTCAGGTGCATAAGTCAGGTGAATAAGTATCTAGAGTCATGGTGTCAAGTTGTTTCAGTGCAGCCAGGTCCGGTGGTCGGTGATCGTATTATAGTGCTGCGGTACGATCGAGGCAGGTAAAGAAGAGTCCTCAGTATGGTAAGATGCTGCAACATGTTCATCCCTTCGAGCAAAGCATGCGGGTCATGCATGTGCAATGAGAAAGCCTCTGCAATCGACGTAGAGATTCCGAGCCTGAATAAGTCATCGAGCAGGCACCGGCGACGCCTCATTGCAATACACACTGACTCACGCAGGCAGGACCAACGGCGGCGATTCCCCATGAAGCGTCCTGCTCGGCAATGCGCCGCGATAGAGCTTCCAACAACTCCGCTTTGGAAAACTTGCGCCCGGCTGACTTCTGCTGCGCATCCGCCAGCGACAGCGAGCCCACACGGCTGATCGCAAGTCCGCTTCCCGAGCTCGTCGCGGAGCCAGGCTTCGCCGTGCTCGGCACAGCCCTCTCGCAGCTCCTGCAGCTTTTGCTCCGACGCAGCAACAGCATCGACCTGACAGCAAAGACTTCACGTGAAAGCACGAAGCATCTAACCTGGCCACGACACTGACGCCTCACTATATTACAAATTGACACAGACAATGATCAACGACATCGATTCCCCATGAAGCCGCCTCCTCGACAATGCACTATGATAGAGCTTATACCAATTCCAGCTTGGACAGCGTGCGCCAGGACGAGCGCTGCGGCACGCCTGCAGCGGCAGCAAGCCCACACAACTGCCTGGTAGTTAGTTCCCGAAGCTCCGCACGGAGCCAGGTTTCACCGTGCTCGCCAAACCCTCTCGCAGACCATTCAGCTGCTGTGGCGGCAACGCCATGGTACTATGTACTCCTACTACTACTATTACTACTACTACTACTACTACTACTACTACTACTACTACTACTACTACTACTACTACTACTATTACTATTACTACCATCTACTAATACTACTATTACTACTATTACTACTATTACTACTCTTACTACTATTACACTATTACTACTATATTACTACTATATTACTACTATTACTACTATTACTACTACACCTTCATGCGCAGCAAAAGTGTTAACTTTACCTCGCGTTCGAACACTCGACAACGCCAATCTCTGTGAAGGGTTGCAAATTTCACCTCAATGCACATCAAAAGTAATAACTTTACCTCGCGTTCGTGCGTTCGACCACGCCAATCAATCCCTGTGAAGGGTTGCAAAATTCATCT